CCCCACAGGCTCTCACAGAGCTGTCCTGGATGCCAGGGCTCTCCGAGAGCAGGGGATTTCGCTGGTCACAGTCTGAAGCGCAGAGCAGGGGCTCGGTGCTTATCAGCCTGTCGGACAGCTCCAGGAATGGAGAGGACTAACCGGAACATCACAGAAATGCCTCCAGCGCCCAGATGATAGAAAACAGCAAGTGTTTCTGTGCCCAGATGGTGAGCAGGAGGGGGCCCAGCCCCCCCCCTCTGTCCCCCGGGCTAGCGCACCTGGAGCGAGCCAGCTGCAGAACTGAGAGGAACCGCCCCTCGCTCCCCCTTCTGGCCCCACTCTCCCCTGCTCCACTTCCTGAGCAGTTCTCAGCCCGCTGACCACAGCTTTCTCGAAAGCCCTGGCCTGAGCCCTGCTTTCACTAGTATTTCCTTTCTCCGTTCCTTCCTTGGCCCTCTGAGAACATGTTGGCGTCTCTTGCGTTCCTGGCCACATCTGCCTGCTCGCCCCGACTCCCAGCCCTGGTCTGGCATGCACCCCTGCTCCCCGCTCCCGGATCAGTCTGAAGCTGTTGGCAGTTACCAATTCTGGAGTCTCATCAGCAGACCGCCTCTTTGTCTGATGTACTCCTTTGCCAAAGCCTCGGGAGTCCCCCGAATAGTCCATGTTTTTGGTTTTTGTGCCTCCACCTTGGTCTCTTCACCCCTACCTCCCTTCCTGCCAGCCACTCGCACTGCAGAAGAGGGTCTAGTCTGGCAGCCAGGTCAGGCCGGCTTCCCCCAGAGGTGACTCCCTTAGAGGGGCCTCATTACCAGCTCAGTGCGCCTGGCTCAGAGCGGACCTATGTATCTGGCTAAGTGAACAGATACTGTAGTTTGGATACCACAAAGTCAGGTCTTCAGGCCTCGTCTCCAGCCAGGACGGGACCCCAGGCTGCAGAGGCAGGGCTGAGGCCCCCCACTGGACCACCACGGGTTGGTGTCTCGCGAAGCCGCAGCAGGAACTTCGGTGACTCAGGCAAACAGGAGAAAAGAGGCGGATTTGTTTAGAGAAAGAACCAGATTGTTAAGGAGAAAAGGAACAGGATTAAAGTGGGACCCCCCACCCAGGCCAGGGAGGGGCCGGGGAGCAAAGCTGAGTCGGCCGGGGAACACGGGCCTTCTTTCCCTAGTTATCCTGGGGCTCCACAGGTGTCTCTGTGGTTGGTTCGTTCTCCACCGTCTCCCTCACTCTGCCGTCATGACTCTGCCCAGACTCTGTCCCCGAATGTCCTGTTGCCTTTAGTCCTCCGGTGTTCTGTCAGTTCCCTTTGGAATTTGTTGCTCTTATCTCTCTCTGGAGCTCCCTTACTTCTCCAAGGTTTTCCCTATTCTGGCCCAAAGAGCTCTCCGCTTGCCCTATGCCTCACTTTTATCTGTTAGTGGTGCATCTGAACACGACCAAGCAGCACACATGCTCAGTGGGAGTGTCACTCGGTAAGCTCTCCTTCTTGAGCTCAGGCTGCTGATGGCTGAGAAGTAAAATGCCGAAGAGTGTATTATATAAATAACTTTGATCTACTCCCCGGGTACTTTTGCTGTCTTACAGAAGTTATGTCTCCTTGTCACGCCCTCCTAAAATGGATTTCTAGTCTTGACAAGGTAGTAAAATGTGTTTCCACACTTTTAAGTGATATATGTGCCCTGCAAACTTTGGGGGTATTTGGATTCTTATGGTGCCTTATTTTCCCTCCAGATTTGCAAGAGAAGATCATCTCATACCAATCAAGATGCGTGTGTTCTAAAGCTTGCAATACTTTTTTATGAGCTGTTATGAAAGCCAGGCTTCAGGGCAAAGCAGGGAAGTACTAGAGGAAAAGCTGTTTTATGCATTTCCAGCTGCAGAAAGTAGTAACACTTGATGTGGGAGTGCTGTGTTCATTCTAGAATTTCTCCCCTAGAGGGATAATAGGACATTGCTTTTTCGACTTTGAAAGGGTATTACATTCTCTCCCAGCACAAATGCCACATTTGACCTCAGTCTGCTCTCACTCAACAAAGTGTTTTCTTTAATGTGATAAGAATTACCGATGATCTAGTTGGTGACATAATTTCTGATAAAGTTTGCAGGCAGGTTGGGAAATGGTTGTGTGCTTTCACTGGGATTGCCAGCGGTGAAAGAGAATTAGGAGTTAAAGTGTCTGCTTTGGCAGCTACTAGATTATGAAATGTATTATTATATTGGGAATAAGAATCAAAGCTTGGACTAAATAAGCTCCTCCCTGGATGAAGAGTGTTAAGCGCGGGCCCCTACGATGCATGATGGGTTTGCTCTTCCAAAATATTTTAAAGATGGACTAGAAAAAAGTGAGGAAAGGCTCTTAGCTCTTCTGGGTAAGAAAATAGAGTTGATTGGCATGAGCTGAAAGAAAGTTCCAGAACATTATGTGAGCTGGCAGATGAGGAGCAGATGGGACCTCATTTTCTATCAATTCAATTTACAAGCAGTTCCTCTTTTTCTACCTGACGAAAAACTGTGATTGTTCCTTTGAAGGGCCTTATAATTTCTTATTTCTCATCCTACTAAACTATTAGATTTTTAAATGTTCATTTCTACTCTTCATGTGCATATATAATATATATGTGTGCATAAATTATTCATGTGTTTTAAAATCTTCACAGATTTTATTATCTCTCTTTCCTTCGCTTTCATTCCCGCCCCCCACTCCTTTCCTAATACCTTTCTTATTGGTCAGGTCATCTTGTAGGAACAAGGTGGTAAGAAAATGATTACGATAATGAACATTTTATTAAAATATTTGATAAAACTTACTTAAATTTGGCCCTCCCTGGTGGCGCAGCGGGTTAAAGCGCAGCACTAAGAATCAAAAGCCACTTCCGCATGAGTTGGATCCCTGCCTGCCCCGGAGGTGACCACAGGACGCGGCAGACCGCTCCTGACCCGCCCCCTGCTCCCCTCAGCAGTGTACTTCGTTGATCTGCCTGTTCTGCCCCCCACTCTGTCTCTGGTGAAGCCTCTCACTGCCCCTCAAACTCTGGCCTGTACCCCAGTTCTGTATGAATAAATAAATCAATCTTTAAAAAAAAAAAAACTTACTTAAATTTAGATGAAAAGATCACCTGGTAGCTTTTTTTTTTTTTTTTTTTTAAGTTTTTCATTGCTTAGCTCCTAAACCCAAAGAGTTAAAGGCTGCCCATCTTTATACCCTTTGGGGCTACACAGGAGATGATGTCATTTGCTATGTCTTTCCAGGGGGAGGTGGCTTTTGCATGACATTGGTGTGTCTTGGATTTATATCCTTGTCTGACTGTGCTCCGCCACTGAAATGGTGCCACACATTCTGGTAAATTTAGCTTATTCACCTTCTGAAATGTTCTACAAGGTAATTAAGCAATCATTGGTTTAATGCTCGTGTTTTGTTCGTCATTCAGTTCAAATTAAATAGTGTATGTTAAATAGTCACAACAAGGAAGGTCCTCCACCCCCACCCTTCACCCCCACCCCATGGTTAGTTTACAAATGAGGTATGAATTTTTGTTAAGGCCTCTGAAAAATTAAAATTGCTTGGGTTCCATAGAAATGTTTAAGTTTCATAGATTTCTTGGTTACTTGTCAATAATAACCTACGTCTGACCTATGAAACAGTCTTATGAAAAATTATTTTTCTTTTATAGACATTGCCCTGTATTTTGACTCTTTAACTGACCACCACTTCTTTTCATTTATTCCCCCTTGAGCGTTACTTGCAGTTTTTCTGACCTGATTTAGAATCTGTCTGTTACTGTTTCGCAAGGACCAGATTTAGTAAGAAACCATTTATTCGCAAGATAAATTGGAGGACTAAGACTAACACTAGCAGATCTACTTTCTCATGTTTAAATAAAGTACTCATTTTACATGAAGTATCACATTTTACTCACAGACTGGATTCATCCAAATCAGGAGAAGGAACTAAAAAAAGGATTATTCAAATTTTAGTTTTGTAGGGAAAGTAATGCTGTGAGTTATCTCACTTGCATTCCCAAAGTGCTAGCTTAAACCAAACCAAGCAGCAGCACCAAACAGCGCGCTATTTATATTTACTTTCCGCCAAGCGGGGAAAGCGGGGAGAGCCGCCCCACATGGAGGGGCCTCCATCATGGGGTACATAGTAGCGATCATCAGCGTGGTGCTTGGGACACACAGATAAATGAAACACTCTCGCTGCCCCCCAAAAGCCCTCAGTCTGAGAACGGGGGTCTTGTAAGTAGATACCAAGGGGTAGAGAGGAGCCGCATTAGACATATTCAGCGGACTCTGGGAGACGTGTGGGAGGCGCCCGGAGGCTTGCTGCGTTTAGAGCCAATGCTACCAGGGCTTCATGGTAATGCCATGTTTGCACAATAGCACATTACAGATTATAGTGTTGATACAGGCAAGCGGTTTTGTGTGAAATCTCTTTTTCCAGTTATAATTTTAATTTGTATGTTGAAAATTGAATGTTTTTATTACTGAGAAATTTGCAATTTACCCTGAGGCTTTTTAAAAATGCATTGTATTTATCTAACTTTTAGTAAATAAATTTTGTCATTTTTAACCCATTCAATCACTGCAGTTAGCTTGAGCTAAATTGTATCTTAAATTACATTATATACAACTGAGGAGATATAATGGATTTATTACCCACACATTTTGACATCGCTGCCAACACCATTTTTAAACTCTACCTGGGTCACTTGGCTAAATCTAGAGTTAAAAAAGCTCAACCTTAAAGATTAAGTTATTTTTACATGACAATACATATCTGCAAATATCAGATACCTGGTTGCACAGCTACAAGATTTATTGGAAGAGCTTTTACGTGAAAAATCTCCCTTTAATTAAAATAACTAAATATTAAAAAATGCAATAGGGCAAATTTTTAGAATACCTATTAATTTCAGCACTGTGCACACTCAGTAATACCAGGTAGATCTGTATGTTTGCTGCACTTTCTCTTTCACCTAGTTGATTAAGGAGATGATATTTCTTGACTCAAAATGCCCCCTCCCCTCAGCCTGGTGAAGTCTTACATGTACGCGGTGACAGCTGCAGCCCTGACCCCTTTGTGAGTGGTTCTCATAGCAGATTGTAGAGTGTGAGGGGAAGTGGAAGGGGTGCATCACTGGGCGGAACTGGAGCTGCGGCCGGGTAAGCAGTGACTGTTCCCGTCCCGGCCTCCTGGCCGCGTCCGGCTGGTAGACCAGGAACCCCTGCTGCGGGTCCGTCCTGCAGCCGACAGTTCTGCCACCTTGTCGTGCCGGCTGACTGATAAGTCACACCAGGTACGGCTAGTCACACCCTTCTCGCCCTCCTCCCGCCTGGGTGGCCAGCAAAGCGCGGCCACTGCCATCGCTCTCTTCCTCGGTTATTCGTCTCAAGCGGCATTTAGAGCGAGATTCTTTTCCACAAGGGGCGGCGCCCGAGATAGTCAGCTCTGTTCATGGTCTTAGGTCTGGCCATGTTGAGCCCTGACTAAGCAGAGACTAGTAACTTGGCCTGGCCACCAGGCCCACTGTCTCTCCAGTGCAGTGGACACTCAGTGTTCTGAGAGGAGCGGGCTGGCCAACCTGCACGTCCTGTCTCACCGGGGCTGGTCTGCAGCACAGTCTGTTTCCCTGTTCCCCGTCCCCCGCGCCCCAACTCGGGCAGCTTTCTTTTCACTGCCTCCCTCCCTGCTCTCTGCCCAGCCAGCCCGGCTGCTTCTGCCCTGCCAGGTGAGTAAGTAGGATGCTAAAGTGCTTTTCTAATTACAGCTCTTTTTCTGTTGGGTTTTTGAGCCACAGAATTAAATTTGACTTGAATGTTTTTTAGCTCTGTGCTCACACAGAGGGATAACCAGAGAGTGCATGTTGTCAGCAGTGGCCACTTCCTAAGGTGAAGTGGTCATTTCTCAGGAGATCTGTGACTGGCCGAGCTCACGACGAGCGCCCCACCGTCCGAGGTTCACCTAGAATCGCAGCTCCTGAGAAGCCTCTGTTGCCTCTGTTTGCTCTAAAGGCCATTTTTCTGAATCCGGTTGTATTCATACCATGTCTATCAAGACATGGCCATCTTGGAAAAACATCGTAGATAAGGAGAATTTGGGGGCCGGGGGCACCTCATGAATGGTAAAGTGTGTGCTGAGAGGCCCATATTACCATCTGGTGGTTGGTGATTGTATTTTCAGTATGTTTTCACCTTTATGAACATAGTGATCTTAGAATATGTGTCAGGTCTCCCTCCCATTTCTGACAACAGTGACTCATTGATTTTGACTGTGCAGTAAATCAGCTGGTGTTTATGAAGGTATCGTCGTGCCAGTGAGTCACAGTGGCACATGCTGATTCTCATTCATCTCAGGAAGCAGCAGCCTGTATGTAGTCTTCCTTCTCAGGGGGCGCGTGTTACATGCTCTGTACTATCCTTTCAATCCTATACGCCGAGGTTTGACATGATTCTTAATTGACTTGGGGTTCGACAGACAATTCTTATATTTGGTTTCGCCTTCGGATTTAATGATATACCGTCTTTGAGAAGTGAGCAGATTCAATTTTTCTGGTGACTATTATATTGCGTTACTGAGCACAACGCTGTGCAGAGAATACAAAGTTAGGTGCTGTTTTCATAAAGTATTGCCGGAAGGTCCTGTCTGATCCAAGGCCATCTTTCCTATGCCATAGTCTGTTTTCTTTCCTTTAGCTTCTCAGGGCCTCTCCCAACTAAAGCAGACATGATAGGAGTCGTTCATTTGCCCGTGTTTGCTGAGGCGATACTGCCCGGCTCAGCGTCGGACATGCACAGGCGATGGCCCCTGCGCCCACCCTTTCATGGACCGCACAGCTAGGTCAGGTTGGGAGGCCGCCCGGCCCACTGCCGTCCTCTGCTAGTGCCGCATTTAGTAGGACAGAGCTGGCGACGGAAGCCGGGCGCCGAGGGCCGCGAAACTGGCGGCCTCCCAGGGCGGGCGGGGCTGGCGGCCTCCAGGCGTGGGGGAATCTTTACCCTTGGGGCCCCTGTGACCTTGTCTCGTGGGCTCCTCTCGCAGCCGCGGCCCCGCGGTCTTTCCACTGCCCCGCCGCCCTGACTGGTGCAGCCTTCGGGTGCGGGCGCCCCCACCGCGTGCCCGCACCCCACTCCGCTCCAGCAGTCAGGCCTGCGTGCCCAGCCCACGGTCCCAGCGCCTCCCGCGCTCAAAGCTGCGGGTGACACCCACAGAGGCTAGTGGCGTAAAAAGCCTGATTTAAATCCATTTACCCTATAGGAGCAACTGTGTGCTTGAAGTGGACCAGGATGTTCCCTGGGTATGCACTGGCCTCAGCTTCCTAGGTTACCTCACCTTTTGTTTCGGATGAGCTAGTTTATAATCGTGTAGGTGGCCGAAAACTGATGGTGGTGCAGGGACTCTTGTGCACAGAAAAGGGAACTGTCACAGTGCAGATGTGGCTGGGTACGGGCCTCTGACGATTGACTCGCTTGCGCTATGTTGCATCTGTGCGCAGATTCTTTGCAGTAGTCTCTCGATGCTTATGTATTTGTATGTTCTTTGGACTCACCTTGAAGCAGTTGTGACATCTTAGGGGTTCAATTAGAGTCTGTTCCACGTGCACAGAAATGGCCTGTTGCTCCATCGGCCTGGGCCCCCTCCACACCCCTGTAAAGAGTCACACGCCGTTTATAATGGGGTCACGTCTGCCGGCGGGCAGCCAGGAAAACTCACCTTTCGTCTCTGCCCCCGGGGCCTCGGAACTGTGCGTCCTGTGCTTCTAGCACCTCAACAAGAGATGAATGTCAAAGCTTCAATTTCAAAAAATTCTTAATCAAAAAATGTTGAGCTCTCCAAATTCAGTCCTGACACAGTAGTAACCAAGTACCAAATTATCGACTAAATTCACGTCTGAATGTACTGACTTTCTGTAGAGAATTTTGTCTCTGAATAAACTACCAGTTTTCTGCACTTTTTATTTTTAAGAGTTATTAAATATATATATATATATATTTATGTGTGCATCCAGAACTGTGGTACAGGCCAGAGGTTCAGGGGCGGTGAGAGGCTTCACCAGAGACAGAGTAGGGAGCAGAACACCCCAACTGACGAAGTACACTGCTGAGGGGAGCAGCAGGCGGGCCAGGAGGGGTCTGCGGGGCCATGTGGTCACCTCCAGGGCCGAGGATCGAACTCATGCTGAAGTCTTCTTAGTGCTGTGCTTTAACCTGCTGTGCTACCAGGGAGGGCCCCCTGCGCTCTTTGTTAATTGTTGTTTTTTTTTTTCCAGTTTTGTTAATTGTTTTTAATTAATTAGTTATCTTTTAATCCAGGTAATATTCTGGTCCCCCCCTCCGGCAGCACTACAGAAGTGCACTCACCACCAAATCACCACCGTCCAGGGTCCTTCCACCTTTGTTCTCACCCCCGACTCTCCCCCTCCACCCCCACCTCTGCTTCAGCTCTGTGGTCAGCTTTTAAGGGTTCGTTTTTCAGCTTGTCTTTATCTGACTCTTATCTTAGTTGGTTCTGTGCTCTTTAAAATGAAATTTTAAACCTCACTTTTTAAGACAGCTCTTAACGTGGTAGAAAACTTCCTGTCAGGTGGCCTTCTTTCCGTGATGCAGCCTGCCTCGGAATCCCTGCATCTTGGTGTGGAGGGAAGGGTGGCCGGTTCCCTGTGTTGCAGTTCTTCGTTCCCTTTGCCTCTTCCCACACGTGGTGATCCCTGGTCTAATTATAGCTAGCTGCTCTCCCTTCAGAGGTTCTCAAGGTTGGGTGCATAGTAACATCATCTGGGAAGCTTTTAAAAATCTGAATGCCCAAACCAATTAAATCAGAACATCTCAGGGTAGACCCAGACTTCAGTATTTTTTAAAGCCACTGAGGTGATGCTAATATGGAGAAAAGCTGCTTTGGGCAAAAACATCACATATCATTATATTGCAAAAGCAAAAACACCCCAGGTCCCTGTGGGAAAAATCTGCACAGGTGAGGGGGGGCCAAGCCAAAGAGGGGAGCAGAATCTGGTTTTACCTGGGCTACCCCGGGAATTGAGCAAACGAGGTCACAGAACGTGGTTAAAAAGCCACACTATCTTGGCTAGAGTAAAGGTTTTGTTTGTTTGTTTTTTAACAATTCTGAATCCAGCTAAAATCTCAAGTAGAAAATACCAAGTTAGGGCTGTCTTGTGCAGCTCTCCACCTTGTTTCTCTGCACGGAGCCAGCTGAGTGATGGGTGGTGGCTAATTCCACTGCTGCCATATGGCTGTATTGGCTGTATCACTGATGGAAAGTCCTGCTCCTCACCCACCAGGCCGCAGGGAAACCGCAAGCAGGGCCAGGCCCTGTGAAGTACCTGTTTCAGCCAAAGGTCCTAGAAGCTCATTGTGCTAACCCATCACAATGTGTTAAGTTTTTTGTTTTTTTTTTTAAGATTTATTTATTCCTGCATACAGAACTGGGGTACAGGCCAGAGGCTCAGGGGCGGTGAGAGGCCTCACCAGAGACAGAGTGGGGAGCAGAACAGGCAGATCAACGAAGCACACTGCTGAGGGGAGCAGCAGGCAGGTCAGGAGAGGTCTGCCGCGCCATGTGGTCACCTCCGGGGCAGGCGGGGATCGAACTCATGCGGAAGTGGCTTCAGATTCTCAGTGCTGTGCTTTAACCCGCTGCGCCACCAGGGAGGGCCACAATGTGTTAAGTTTATAAGGGGAAAAGTAAAATCGCATCCATTCATTTTCTGGAATGGTAAGGTGAGGAAATAGCCTATTTCTTGGTGTGTCCCCCTGCTCCTGCACCCCAAACCTTCCCCCCAAAAGATACCTTCTAACAGGATGTCCTGACTAAGGGCCTGATCAAACCATCTTATTGTTTCCTCAAGCTTTTCTCGATCATGCCTTCCTGTACTCATTGTCTGTCCCCTCCCTTTCGTATAGGAAGACAGAGATGTCGATAACCCCATGCCTAACCGTGGAGGCAATGGACTAGCTCCCGGGGAGGACAGATTCAAACCTGTGGTGCCGTGGCCTCATGTTGAAGGAGTAGAAGTGGACTTAGAGTCTATTAGAAGAAAAAACAAGGCCAAAAATGAACAAGAGCGCCACGCTGGAGGAGCTAACCAGAAAGACATAATGCAGAGGCAGTATCTCACGTTTAAGCCTCAGACTTTCACCTACCGGGAACCTGTGTTGCGCCCAGGGGTCCTCGGTAACTTTGAACCCAAAGAACCTGAGCCTCAAGGAGTGGTTGGTGGCCCTGGAGAGAAAGCCAAGCCTTTGGTATTGGGACCAGATTTCAAACATGCAGTTCAAGCCAGCATTAAGGAGTTTGGATTTAACATGGTGGCAAGTGACATGATCTCTCTGGACCGCAGCGTCAATGACTTACGGCAAGAAGAGTAAGCACACTCCCTCTTCTTTCTAAACGGGGGCAGCTGTTGATAGAATCTGTGCCTTTATTTCCGGGGAATAAGGATCCTAGGGTGCAAAGTGGTGAGAAGTGGTCAGAAGGAAGGTGGCCAGTGTCCGCCTTCCATTTATGTCTTCCCAGTCATGATGTGTAAAATTCTGGCGTCTCCTGCACCATTGCTACTCAAAGCATGGCCCTGACTGGCACTGCCTGTCCGTGTTTTGTTGCCAGTCCATACGGGGAAAACGAGCTGGCAGAGCCTGCAAACCGTCAGATCCTTTGTTAGCCCAAGTGATGATCTTGTAATAACAATGTTCTGGATGTGTTGATTTTCATTCTGACTCAAGTTCCTTATCTTGTAGAAGGACAGAGTAGCCCTGCGCTAGCTGTCTCTTTTAGTTAACTGGTTATTTGTTTCTTTTCATTTTTTTACTACTGCTACTGAAACCGGAAATGGAGTCTCCTGCCATTACGCAAAAGCGGCATTCGGATAGGTAACATTATTGTTGGAAGTTCTTTGGTTCTTGTCCTGCAGCTGGGTTTAAAGGATTTCCAACTCTTCACTTTTTATGGCCAGCAATTAGCAAATGAACTCAAAGCACTTCTTTTTAGTCTACTTAATAACCAGCTCTGTTTCTGTAATATCTAAGTCACTTTTATTAATATGGCTGCAAATTTAAATCTCTGGAAAACTTAAAAAATGTTTTCTTGACAATGATCGTCCCTTTGGAGACTAATGTAGCAGGTGTGCATGCACGCACTAGCACCTGTTATGGCCACAGAGCAAGACTGCCTTACACGGTGCTACTTGGTAGACTTTGGCCATCCATGTTTATTAATAGGGCGGGGGCGGGAGGAAGAAACACGCAGAGAAAGAAGTGCAGAACCACGATGGTGAGAGACACAGTCTCCCAGTACAGAGCAGCGTTAGAGCGCCCCAAGGGACCTTGAAGGGCGAAACCTTGGGGCAGTTTATTCCTAATCAAGGTAGAGACTCGCCTAGTCCTAGGGTTACCAGATTTAGTAAATAAAATAGGGGTGCTCAGATGAATGTGAGCTTCAGATAAACCACGCTAACCATTGAGGATAAGTGTAGCTCACATGTTATTTGCTATCTGAAATCCGTATTCAGCGGGGTGTCCTTTATTTTATGCGACACCCAGACTAGTCAGGGG